ACACACTGGACCTTTAAGAAGAGTGGAAACCCTGTTTTTATTTCTGTAAATTGACATCCTGTACAGTACCATCTCACCCACACTTGCTACCATTTTTTAGGCTATGTCTCTGTTGCTGTTTTAATGGATGTATCTAGGAAGGTAACTACGTAGAAAGACAATGACCCTATTTGCCCTCAAAACCTTTTGTGAACTGCTTCTTCAACCTGGGGCAAACAGCTGTTCATGAGTTGCTGGTGCTAATCTACAAGTCTGGAACAAGACTACAGAAGACCTTCACAGCAAGCTGAAAAACACAAACTGCGTACATCTTGTCACCTTGTAAAGTTGTTTTTGCAAACGTGTTAGCAATCAGTTGCTTTACATCCAACGGGCACAGAGTAACATTTGGTTTCTGGTCAAATTTACGTGCTCTATGTTGGTCTCTCCTTTCTTACTAAGAAACAGATTTGTCTCTTCAGCAGATAAACTGTGCTCCACTGTGTTCACCAGCTAGTTGTCTCTCTGCCATTTGGATCTCAGCATGAAGAAGATATAGCTTGATAACTGAACCTGGACTGTTAGATCTGAGCCATAGTCGAATCGTTGTGCAACCAGCCCCTGCCTGGACTTCCACAAATAACACTCTCCTCTCTGAAGCTCTCTGTCTTCATGTTCAGACTGTCAAAATAATAAGAGCGTATAATTTGGCTGCTATTGCCTCTGTAACCTTTAGAGCTAGCTGAGTCACATTACTGAATGTGTCCAGAGCAGATGGCTAATGAGGCAGTAAGTGAGCTAAATACCAGGCTTTCTTCCCTAACAGCACCACGACTACAGTGACAACATTTCGATTAAAGTGACTAAAGTAAATGCTGCTGCCTTGTATTACTCATGGACTACTGTTGGCATTAACCAGATGGAAGTAACCCATAAAGCCAGGACTAAACGGGATCTTACCACTTTATGGCTTTTAAAGCACCGCACACCACAGCTGCTGAGCAAAGTCTTTGTCTGTTTATGTATTTACTGGCTTATTCATTTCTCTGATTACATATTAATTAATTTTTAGTGCAGCAATAGATCCATATGCCATTATACCTTAAGTTGGCAAAGATGCACGTAACAGGGCTTGTATAGAACTGCTTGATGCATGCTGCAGATGTGCAATACTATATCTTTCTAGTTGTATATTTCTTAGAAAGGACTGAAAAACATGGAAAGCTTTACCAGTGATGTAACCAACTTGAACTGCCTTAAGTGAAACATTTTTTATACATCAACATGGTTTAATGGCTGTATTTATTGTTTGTTTGTTTGTTTGAGTACCATGAGTGACTGCATAGTGATTATTGGGGTTTACTAAGCAGTATTCCATCCAGTTTAGCATTTAATCATGTGAGTAAAAAGTAAGCTGCGTTATGAGGATTTCACCTATCACAAGCGCTGCGGTTTCATTCCACAATTCTGGTTTAAGAGTCAGTATTTAAAAAGCAGCTTCAAAAATATCCACTTTTTAAAGGAATAGTTTGGCATTTGATGAAATGAGTTTATTCTCTTTTTTGATCAGAGTTAGATGATGAATTAATATCAATTGAATGTCTGTGCACATTAGCCTGGAAGCAGGGGAGGGACAGCTGGCCCACCAGTTAAACATACTGTAAGGAGTTTTTAACTGGTTATGAAACAGTGTCAATTTAATAATGATGTCTCTATATGACCTACTGAAACAAACAAGACTATCAGAGAGAAGACTGACTATTTCTATACAGTTATTTTTAATGCTTGCCGTCGGGTTGGATTCCCCTTGAAATCAATGAAACAAGGCAGCTTGTGTCCACAGTTCCCGCCAGAATTAACACAAAATAAAATCTCCTTGTAGGGGCTTACGTTTCATCTTGTTTGTTGAATCAGTACTTGCTAGTAAAAAAACTTGGGGAGACACTAGCTTGACATTGAAGTTGCATTGAACTGAGTCTTTTTGATAAGTTGCAGGGGCGTTTCCACAGGAGGGCCCTGGGGTAGCACTGGCCACCTTGAAATCTTATTGGCCACCCCATCCTCGTTACCTCTTCCACTGGCACTGTCTCTCAGGCTGTAGCCAGAATGAAGATGCTAGCATGTTAGGACTTAACTTAGGTAAAATAACACTCCAAACGTAAGCTTTATTTTTGTGATGGAAAAACTGGCCATTTTCAGAGGGATTCCCTGAGCTCTGGCCTCAAGATATCTGAATGAAAATGGGTACCCACAAATCTTGGTATAAATGTGTTATTTAGTGTACTTAAATATTTTTGCATACTGGGGTCCATAAACAGTGTTGGAATTGTATAAATTGGGGGAATGACGGGAAAGCTGAGACACATACTTCATGCCACCCCTGCATAAATCAGTTCCCCACGCAGTCAAAAAAACTCTGGAAACGCCCCTGTGTGCTTCACTAAGGAGATTTTTTGTAAATATCAAGTACACCCTGCAGTTCTCCAAAGTACATCTAGGGGCCCATACTCCCATTTAAGAAACACTGCTCTGCACTTGTCACTATTTTCATGAATGTAGCTTGGTAGCTGGTCCACTATGTGTCAAGATAAGGTCCCCGTCCATGTTCCACCTACCAAGCTACGTCGGATTGGTCAGATGTTTGGAAGCAGCTATCAGTGCGTAGAACACAACAAATCAGAGGTTATTTAGGGGCCTTGAACCAGGCTCGACTAGCTGTATCCCCCTTCTTCCTGTCTTTTTGCCAAGCTAGGTTAACCCCTTCTTAACCCTAGCTTAATACGTATTGCACAGATACGATACAAGTGGTATTGCTCTTTTCATCACTCTAGGCAAGAAAGTTAAAAGGTGCTCTTTGGAAAAAGGTCAAACCCTTTCAAAGCCAAGGTCTCAAACTGAAAACCAATAATGCGCTTAAACTTCATGCATTCATTTGCTAAACTAAATGTGATCTTTCTTCATTTATTAACTTTTTATTGGTGCATATCATTTAGAAATTAAACTCTTAAACAGCAAGTCAAATGTTGTTGTTTTTCCGGTGCAAAAAGACAAAACCAGAAAGACGAGCATGCTTGCAGATCCGTCAGCGTCCAAACCAACATCACTTCTACCTTCATCTTCAGAAAATGTTCCGAATGTAATGCTTTCAGACCAAATTTCATAAATAAAGTCTTTCTTTCACACATTTCAATGAGTCCTCATTTACAGCTTTGCAGATTCAACATATAATTTGAGAACACAATGCTGTCAAGTTTCTTTTCTAATGGCTAAGAAGCAGCTTTACTGAAATCAGCCATAACTTCCAAGAATAATGTATCAGACACAATCTTCCTGGGTGACGCACATCCGTCTTTAATCCAGCTTTTAGAGAGCACTCCGGGCACATCTAATCCCCAAATAAACGAATCACGTCAGATTTGTCTATGCTACCACTACTTAAAAACACAGTACTGCGTTAAGTCAACTGATCCCACTCTCGTCTGTGTTGTTTATTAACGCATCTGCTGCTTTAAGGTAATACGCTGACTCATACTCTAATATGTCTGGCTGTGGTTTATACCCCCTGGCACATCCTTGAGGACTTATTGCCCTAAAAAGACGTCTGTGCTGTGGCTTGTAAAACGTAGTGTCTGGGATAAATTAATAAACAATTACACACATGAAAACCCCCCCCAAAAAAAGGAAACATGATATAAATAGTTTTACAAATCCCTGTGTCTGCAAAGCTGATGGCTCAGGGTAGTTTGGTTGGATTTAAACAGGAAGGAAAAGGATCTGATTTGAACTGAGCATGACCCAGAACTAGGGTTTTTTCCCTTTATGTTTTTTAAACTATTTGCCCTGTAGATATTACAAAATGTCTGGGT